CCCCCCCCCAGCAGCACCCCAGCCCAGCAGAACTGGAAGGGAGGAAACACCACCACACCCCGCGGGGTGCAACGAGATTTTGGGGTGCAAATGCAGGACTGGGGCTTTCTGCTTGCCGGCAATGCCGTGGATGCTGCCAACGGGGACGAGGCATTGGGAACTGTCACCATCCCGCTGTGCCGGGGCTGAGCTGCTCCGGTGATGCCGCAGCTCCTCCGGAGAGGGGCTGGCACGGGACGGACCACCCGGAGCAGCCGGTGGGACCCTCGGACGAGCTGCGACCCCTCACCGGCCCCATCACCACCGCGCCAGGAGCAGGATGGGTGCTCTCACCGGAGCTGGCACGGATGCAGCCGAGACCCCCCTCCGGCACATCACTGCTGGGCAGGGACCTTGCAAAGGGTCCCGGGGGAGCCCAGGGTGCAGCTCGGCCCCTTGCACCCACCACGCTGGTGCTGGCCTTGCCGGTGGGCTTTGCAGCACGGTGAGCACCAGCATGGCTGTGCTGGCGTCCCTGTCTGTGTGTCTGTGCAGCGGCAGCGGTCGGACCCCATCCCCATCCCCTCCCTGCCGAGGGTCCTGTGTCCCTCCCCGTCCCAGCTGAGGTGGGTTTGGGTTTCACCTTTTTTTTCTTTTTTTTTGTTTTTTTTTTTAACCATTCTGTAATTTATTGACCCCATTTGCAAATGACACTAATCCAAATAAAACTTAATTTATTGAAGACGCCACCAGCCCCCTGCCCTTGCTGCAAGCCCCCCCCCCGCCAAGGCTGCAGGTGGTGGGGGTCTGCACAGCCACCCCTCCCTCAGCCCCCCGAGACCCCCCTGTGCCAGCAGGGGACCCCCAGGCAATGCCAGGGGTGCCGCAGACCCCCAGCACCTTAGGGATGCTTCAAGTGTGTGTGTGTCCCCCAAAAGACCCCAAGCAGCTGCAGGGACCTGGGGTAGCACCCCATGAGCAGCCCCCCCAAGTCCAGGGAGAGAGGGTTGCCCCACGCAGCCCCCCTCGGGGGGCTGGTGATGGAGAAGGTCCTGGAGGGCACTGGGATGGCAGCAAGAAGGGTCCTGGGGCACAGAGTAGTGAGGGGGGGGTGGTCTGTGGTAAGGGGGGCTGGGGGGGG